ATGCAGTCACTAAGCGAATCTGCCTTCCCCCATTGACTTTGCTTGTTGGAAGCTGGCTGGGAAGGTTAAAAATGGTGACCGGCTGTCCCTGAGAGAGTGCAACTCTTATAAATATGTGCCAGTTGCCGAGCACCCAAATTTTGATCACATGACTGTGAGGATGCTACCAAGTTGTAAGTGTAAAAATTGGTCGTAAGTCACTTTTTTCAGTGCTGTTGTAACTTCAAATGGTCGCTAAATGTCACATTATTTTTTTTTAATTCCCAATGTCGCATTATTTAACAGAATAACAGAGTTGGAAGGGACCTTGGAGGTCTTCTAGTCCAACCCTCTGCTCAAGTAGGAGATCCTATACCATTTCAGACAAATGCTCATCCAATCTCTTCTTAAGAACCTCCAGTGTTGTAGAACCCACAAATTCTGGAGGCAAGTTGTTCCACTGATTAATTGTTCTAACTGTCAGAGAATTTCTCCTTTGTTCTAGGTTGGTTCTCTGCTTGATGGTTGTAAGTCAAGGATTACCTGTACACATTTTCCTTACGTTTGCAAAATATTACAATGATTCCTATGTCTTCCCCCCCAAAAAAATGATTTAGAGGAAGACTTGACTCTTGAAGCCATTCAACACTCATAAGATAAAATGCTCCACATAGTGGCCAGAGCAATTGTTTATTCTCCTATTGTCACCCAACTTAGAATTTGCTCAGAGGAGGGTGAGGAAAAGCTAACAGGAACTATCATAGATGCCAGTGCCTTGACAGCACAGAGAAACAGAGCAGTCTGGAGCTTCCAGGTTCCTACATCATTTTTCCCCCCCTCCACTCTGCTACAATTCTGTGTAGCTGAATAATTGCCATTGTGGAGCGCAGCTGGAACTGGAACACACCTGTTTTTTCTATGTTACACAATCCCGGTGGAAAATTAACCATAAGTTTCTATTTCTCGTATCAGGATAGTGGGAAATCTATTTATATGGTTCTGTTCATAATTCTGCTCAGTTATGAAAAGTTGGGCTGGGCGGTCAATGGAAATAACTTGGCCAAACCCATGGTGGCGTTGTATTAAAAGTAAGAGTGAAACTAATTCCACCAGTTTGTAGCGGGAAGAACATCAGGCAAGCACTGCTGTCATTCGTATCTGTATTGGCTTTGTACTTCAAAAGTCAATTGTACCCATTGCCAAGAGACACTGAGGATTAGCATTTGCTAAGCAACTTTGCAGATTCAAAGGCAGAGGCACTTAATTGGGCCTTATATGTCATGGTCTCAGTGTCTTAAATTGAGATGATTGACCCTCTCTCCTAAATTTCTACAGGTAAAGCAATAGTCTGTCACCGAGATCTCTTCAGTTTCTTCCTGTATATTCTGCATTAGTTCAAAGGCAGTAGAAATCGGCTGTCGTTTCAGAAACTGTTCATTGGGGCTCTGCTGTCATTAGAAGAGTGATATGATTGATCAAATCCATAACTATAAAGTAGAATGGGGAGTATGACTCTTACTTAAAATGCTTCAATTAAGATATTAACTGGTGGAAATTAGGTAGCTCCAGACTAATATTAGAGATATGGATGGCCTTGGGTGCCTTATTTCCCCATTAAATAAATATAACAACTTGCTGGTTAGAATTGTGAATGGATCATTTTCAAGACATTAAGGGAGGAATATGCTAAGCTGCTGATGATTAAGTTGATATATTTCCTTCCATACAGATGATCTGTGACACATATTGCATACAATAAATATGAAACATACATAAGATAAATGAAATGTGTGAACGTTTCATTCTTCCTTGATAAATTACAGATACAAATGGGTGACAAAAACGTAAGTTTCATCTAATTATTTAAAATGTAAGTCAGTAATTCTAATTATCTCTTTGGACACATGGTTCAACAATATCTAGAAAGTTAGAGAAAAATACAACCAACATTTTACCAGGCAGAAGAGGTGTCTCCTGGTAGTTTACAATATTTTGGACTGTGCATTTACAGCTGAGTAATCTCTTCTAAACCCAGGTGACTCCTTTTTGATCCGAACCTTCTTGAAATAGTGTGAGAAATAGATCCCATGATGGTACCGATTTTGAATTACGAATTTCCTGAGCATCTGTGATCAAGCTACATTTCCTTAGTCTTCTACAAAATTATAAATAAGGATCTGAGTACAGGATTCTATTGGCAAAATGTGATGACCATTGCTTTGAAAGGTTGTGGAAAAATCTGCTTTCGGGTATCTTGTGTTCTCACTTCAAGATAGGCTAAATTTAAAAAAAAAAAAAACACAATGCCATAGCTCAGAACTTCTTTTACTGTAACTACTTTATCTACATGAGAATGAAGGAGGATTTTATCTGAGACATTTTCATTTACATTTCTGCTTTGGACTTTATCTGAACTTTATTCTCCTTGTCCCTCAAGGCTGTGCTCCTCTGCCCACTACGATAACATGGTTTTTTATATGATATGGCACAAAGGGTATCAAAGCCACCACATTAAAGCCATTATTTTCTTTCTTTCTGTTTTATAAATTTCATATCCACAGGTATTGGGCCAAGATACCTTTTATTTTTTTAAAAAAAAAAACTCTGTTGGTATGAAATGAGATTTTTCTTAACTGTGCAGTGTTCTCAATTCATGTTTATTTATGAAAGTCATATAGAGCCCATCTCTCACCTGGCCTCCACGCACTTATTCTGATTTCTAGGAAATAACTTGCTATGTATTTAGTGCGGTGTGTAGTGTAATGTATTGCAACTCCAATGAAATTAGTTTATTTATTGGCTTTTTATTTTTATAATAGTGGATATACTACAGGATAAACTTTACAGCTGCAGTAACAAGTGTTGTGTGGACATTAGACATCCACTTCCTTCTTTTTCGGTGGATGTAACTTTAATTCTATTCATTCTGATTCTTTATGAGAATTTTGGTGAGAACAGCCAGTATAAGCATGTGATGAGAGGCATTGGACATGAAGGTGGAAATAAAAGTAATCATATCACCTTGATCACCTTAAGCATTCTAGCATAAAACCTGAAATTATATACCATAGATAACCTTTAAAATAATGTTTTAAGGAAAAAAATGATAAAAGCAGCCTCAGACCAAACCAACAAAATTAAAATTGTTTATTGTTTATTTGTTAGGTTTTTATCCTGCCTTTCATTTGGGAGCTAGAGGCGGCATGCGTAGATCCCAGTTGATCTCCACAGTAACCCTGTGAGTTAGTTTGGACTGAGAGAGGAAGAGTATTTCAGCCCTTTGAGGTATAAGTGTTAATACAATGGGTAGTCCTTGCTTAGCAACCACAATTGGAATCAACAGCTGGGTCACCAAGTACTGCAGCCACTCAGTGAAAAAAATAATGTGACCATGAGGGGCTTATGGCCTCCCTTCCCATTTGGCCACTAAGCCAAACATCATCTGTTCATGACTTATGCATTTTACTTATGCATTCTTTATTAATGTGCGTGTTGCAAGCCAGTTGCAGACCACCCATATAGTGATTGTGGGTTGTTGCAATGATGTAAATGCGAGGATTGGTCACAAAGCTATCTCTTTTTTTTGTTACATTGTTTTAAACAGTCACTAAGCAAAACAGTCAGAAAGGAAGGACTACCTGTACCTTTATTGTAAGGTTGCAATAACAGATTCTTGCAAGTCTGAAAGCATTTTTCCCCCTCCTGCCTTTGTTTTCCAGAGAACTAAGAAAGGTGGAGAGTTCTTAAGCAATCTCCCCAAAGGCAGATTAGTACATAGTCAGTCAATCTGGATATTTTGGTCTTAAGCTAGTCATAGTTCACATAGTCATAAAATATTCCTTCACAGAATGCTGTAATCGAAAAAAATCCCTTTCCAAAGTCTGAGTGGTCTGTTTCAGTTCCATTCCATGATGGAACATTTTGTACTTCCTTAGCTTTTGAACTGAGCCCAGGAAAGAATCAAGAGCATTTCAGGCCAGACACCATAAAAATCATATTCCTGGTCTTCCTTAGCAAGTGACTGGCTGTATTTTGAACTGATGTGTCTAGACCAGGGGTCTTCAAACTTGGCCCTTTTATGACTTGTGGACTTCAACTCCCAGAATTCCTCAGCCACGCATGTTGGCTGAGGAATTCTGGGAGCTGAAGTCCACAAGTCATAAAAGGGCCAGGTTTGAAGACCCCTGATCTAGACAGTCTTCAAAGGCAGGTACATTTCAACATAGAACCATAATCAACATTACACATTACTGGATGATTGCCATCCGGTCAAAGGCTAGGCCTAAACATGTTTGGTGCTTTTGCTGGATAATAAATATGATATACCCAATCTTTGAAGAATATCTGTGGAGATTCTCAGTCATCCAGCTCATGGCTGTCCCAAAGGTGCTTTTTCAAAAGGCAACTGGACTTTTTTTTGTTTTGTTTGAAGATGTTTCACTTCTCTTCTAAGAAGCTTCTTCGGTTCTTCTGCAGAACAGAAAAAGCTTCTTGGATGAGAAGCATAATGTCTTGAAGCAAAAGAAAGTCCAGTTTTCTTTTCCAAAAGCGCCTTTGGGCGAACCTTTGAAGATGACCATGTTGCTACCTTCTGGAATACAGTGCATTGCAGTTGTCATCAAAGCAATGCAAAAGTAACCTGAGAAAATCTCAGACAAGTATCAACTTCTGGCAAAATCACCAGAGTTTGTGTTATTGGAATCTGTGCACACAAAACTAGTAAAAGGCTTACAACCATAAATGCTTTAGCTCCATTAGAGCTATGACTAGACAAAGCTATCCCCAATGCTGTGACATGGCTATCTCATCATTCTCTCCTGCCTGAAGAGAGATGCCATCTTCATAGCCCCTGTCATTGTCCATGTATGCTACCATGATGTTCATGAATGTATTGTCCTGCTGCTCCTTCATAACCTGCTCATGTGTCATGATTTTTTATTTTGCGAAAAGAAGAACATGTGAATTGCTGAGAGTCTACTACAGAATACCCTTTTGTATACATTTTTGTTCTTCCTTGCAAGACTGTGAATGCTTCGGCCACTCCAACCGCTGCAGTTACATCGATCTGCTCAGTACATTCATTTGTGTGAGCTGTAAACACAACACTAGAGGGTACCACTGTCAGTTGTGCAGGCTGGGCTACTACAGAAATGCTTCTGCAAAGCTGGACGATGAAAATGTATGCATAGGTCAGTTATGTTCTAATTCTGGCGTTTTGTTCTCTGCCTGTTTTTAGCCGTTTGGAATCCATTAGTAATTAAGAAAACTGTTTCCATCTTTTTAATTTTGCCAACTAAGCCAGAATAAGCTTTTTCAGTGAAGATCTGTGATTAAATATGTTTGATTTTAGAACTGAATGCACAGCTGGATTAAGTAAGAAGTTTATGTGGTTATGAATGGCCGTGATTAAATATTGTAGATATTTCTTCAGTTTGTTAAAAAAAATCTTTACTGGTAATTCAACTATCCTATTTGGGTTTTTTGAACACCAAGGCAAAGCTCAAATTAGTAGATTGAAACCTGCTATTTTGGGAATCTCTGATATTCTTAGGATTTGATTCTGTGTATTAAAATATATGATTCACACATTGCAGCACAGTCATATAATTTAATCTTTTGTAATAACACTCATTTAATTGCTGCAAATTGTGAGCACCATGTCAAATGGCTTCATAGTAACATAAAATCAATGTAATATCAGGCCATATTGAAATAAAAACCCTATTTACTCAATAAGAAGATGTGTTCCCAAATAAGAAGTCTTGCTCCCCAAACATCATTAGCTGTAAATGGGGGAACAAAATTTCTTCATTCACTGAGATAAACAGAACAAGCGGTTGATAAGACTAGCGAATGGGCAGAAGTGAAAATGGCTGCATATTATATAGATATCTTTAAAGATTAGTTTGAAGATTAGCCATATTTTGGGGCAGAGCTGCCTTTCTGGTGAATTTAACCAGGTGAATTTAACTTTCCTCTTTTCAATAAATTTTTCAAATGTTTCATTTTCATCCAATTTCCTCTCCCTTCCTTTCTTTCCATTCTTAGTGCAGCTTCTCCTTAACTTTATGACCTTGTTATTCATTTCTCCTAGGAAGAGAAGTATATAAATTTTTCTAGGTGTGCGTTTTGTGTGGGAAGGAGAAAGGTTGCTGTATTCAGATGGGGGAATCGATTAATTTTATAAATTGGGCTCCCAATTTTACAAGTAATGCTCTTAATTAATGATCATTCATTTTGCCTTGGGTGGGGAGTATGACTTTTGGCAGATACACACATATATAAGTGTATCCTACGTGTGCATCTTATAGGAGAGGGTAGATTTCCAAGACTGGTTTCAGCAGGGGGTGGCAATCATAAACATTCCTGTTTATTTTTCTGCTATCTTTCTCTTTTGATTAGGATCATCTTAAATTTAGGGTTGTCAAGCAAGTACAGAGAATGCAAAATCTTTTTAGTAATAAGAAATAGCAAAACATAAAGTCCACCTCCTTAAAAAAAGACTAGTTAAAAAGTTACCAAAAATATTTCTTATAAAACACTCTCCATCACCGTTGTTGTTTTTTTCATCACTAAGCAGATTTTTGATTAATTCAACTGTTACAGCATTTTGATGCAGCCAAATACAGATAGACACACAATGCAAAGAGAAATAACATCAAAAGAGAACCATTTCACGTATGATGCATTTCAAAGTATCGAGATCACCTAATTGTAGAAACGGAGTCTTCTTCTATATGCAGACCATTTTAAGATAGGTAAAAATCCTTTCTCCTATTCACCATCAGATCATGTTTATTATTTCTACAAGTATATATGATGAACTCCATATCCAATGTACAATTTCCCTCCCAAAAGAGTTGTCTATGTAGAAATCCAACTTGGAATTTGTCACATCTTTGATAACTACCTGGTTTCTACAGCTGAAGAGTAAAGAAAGTTTTCTAATCAGTGCTATAACAATTGGTGTTATTAACACTATTACTACTACCATCCTTATTATCATCTGCATCCTCCATGTCTATGGAGATTCTCCGTCATCCAGGTATGGTTGTCCCAAAGGTGCTTTTTTCAGAGGCAACCAGACTTTCTTGTTTTTTCTTTGAAGATGTCTTCAAAAGCACTTTTGGGATCTTCATTCTACCTTCTGATCTTCTTAGACTACCATACATTACTGGATCAGAAGGTCATCTGGACTGCCATCCTGCCATGAATTTAAATCAGTGATCATTATTAGTTATCGGTGATCATTATTACTTCTTGATGTGACAGCATTCTGGAGACATAAGTGGAATATAGTACATACTTCTTTGGAGCCTGAAATAAAATGCTGTTAATTAAATGCAGTGTAATGGAAATCTTACCATAAAGCATTAACACTTGAGCTACAGACCACCACTTATCTACAAACACTGGCTAGGAATCAATGATATGTTTCCAAGTTAAACATTGACATTTTTAAAGGATACAGATTATTAAAAATATAGCATTCTGTTGATTTTAGATAGCAAGGTATCTTTTTAAAAAGATCTCTTCAAAACCATTCAATATGTTTTTTTTCAACTGTACATCAGAAACTTTTGTATAATATTATTTATGAATGTACTTTAATTACACCATTTCATGCTTGAATTATAATTGTACCTATCACTCCAGTGCATTTTATTGCTTCCAGCGAGGTTCATTATTGTAGCCACTTTTAAAAATGTATTTTCTACAATAAAAACACAGTAATCTGCATATTAAACAAATTGATGAGAGGAATCAAGATGTGATACATTTTCAGATACTTTCATAAAAAACAGAAAATGGTGCTGAATTATGGGATGTTTTATCCACAATTTTTGAAATGAGGCCAGGTAGCATTTTTTTTTTTAAGTATCTCATTGAATTAACTGATTCTGTACAATTATTAAGAACTATGACAACCACTTTTCTTGACCTGGTCATCTCAATGCATAGTTCAAATAGAAGACTCATCTACTTATTACCAGCTAATACAGGTGAGGCATATTGGCTTTCTAATTCCTAGTGAAAAAAATGCACCTTGATCTACCAATAGGAGAGAAGATTTAATTATATTCAAGCTCAATAATGTTGAAAGTGAGGAAACTCCACCCATATAGTATAAATGGCTTTAAGGAGATGTCTTGGAAAAATAAAAAATAAGAATTGAAAATAATTAGTATTAAATAGGTGTTATTGCAATGGACCGATTAGTGAATGTATTTAAGGTAACACAAGATGCAATTGTTTCCGAACCTGAAACAATTTGACTTAAATCTAATCCAAACCATTCAACTTCTGATGATGTATTCTGATTTCTGCCTCCTTTCCCCTATAGCTCCTTTGTGCAAGGGCTGAATCCCACCTTCTCTATAGATCTGCTTACACCAAGAATAGAAGCTATGGCAGGTAGTCCTCGACTTACAGCCACAATTGAGCCCCCAATGTCTGTTGCTAAGTGGGACATTTGTTAAGTGAATATTGCCCCATTTTACGGCCTTTCTTGCCACAGTTGTTAAGTGAATCACTGAAGTTGTTAAGTTATTGATATGGTGGTTAAAAGAATCTGGCTTCCCCATTGGCTTTGCTTGTCAGAGGACCACAAAAGGTGATCATATGACCTCGGGACACTGCAAACATCATAAATATGAGTCAGTTGCCAAACATCTAAATTTTGATCACGTGACCATGGGGATGCTGCAACGGTTGTGTGAAAAATGGTCATAACTCACTTTTTTCAGGGCCGTTGTAACTTTGAATGGTCACTAAGTGAATTGTTGTAAGTCAAGGATTACCTGTAATAAACAGACTTAGCAATCGTGACATTAATTATTCCTTTTAAGCTTTAGCATTTCTGAGTATATACCAAAGATTTGTGATGTACTATCCTGAAATCCCAAGACTCTTAGTAGATAATAAATCCTGTTGAACCTGATTAAACTCACTTGTGAGTCAAGAGAATACTGACTTTGCTTCAATCAGCACATATCCTTCCTAAAGTAAACACTATCCAAAGCAATAAACAACATTTTACTTTAGTTTAGCAAACAAATGAAAGAAAAGAAAACGGGAAATGTTCAGGGAGAGAAGCAATTCTACTGGTTGCATTTTTAGAACTGGGTTTCAAAATTACCTCAAAACATTAATAAAGCTGTGCTTTAATGAAATTTAGGAGCCTTTTGGATATAGCCGTGCTTAAATTATAATCTGTAATCCAATATTTACAACATTCCTTTAGTAAGTTTCAGTGACAACGGCTATCATGTATTTAGCAGTGCGTGATCAAAATTACATGAAAGCATCACAGTGCACTTGTCTACAGACATCTAAACAAGCAACTTCATTAAAAACTGAAGAACTACTTGGAGTGTATAAAAATACAAAATGTACATGGTCCTATAAATAATGAAATATTTTTTAAAATATAGATTTTTATAATTTTAGTTTATGATGATCATCCTTCACTATGTTAGTTGTATTTGCACACATTCGTTTTGTTCATATTTCCAAGCAGATGGCATTGGACTGTAACTTTAAATCCAGTTCCTGTGGTTGTTATCTAAGTAGTGCTAGGAACTTGATGTGCATTGTGTACATCCACAGTCAGGAAAGAAGCATCAATGTGTAAGAGGTTGTGCTTGCACAATTCCTAAAAGCTGACTAAACTGGCTAGAAAAAAATGGTTTTACTTGAAAAGCAAGTATTATGTTCAGCCATGGTTGAAAGAGTAATTTTAGTATTATAAACAATATTTCTAAAATACAGAGCAGTCCTAATATTAATGCTTGTTTTAAATTATTGGCTGGTTGTATCCTTTCTAGAAAAACCGGAGGGACAATCAGCATTTTTAGCATAATTATGTGGTTCATCATTACTTCAGCTGGAAAAGACCTGGCAAAACCTTTCTTTTTCATTTAGTTTTGGGCTTGGGAGTTCAGATTATATAAAAAGAATTACCCCATAATTGTAGTGTAGAGTGACAGATATCTAAATGAGGCAGTACTACATTGTTATTCTGAATTTATAGTGACTCTCAAATCACATAACTGTATCATTTGTAATTCATAGATTCTGAAAAATTGCACAACAGGTAATATTTGCTACATAGAATGAATTCTCCTTAAAAAAATTTCTATTTGCGGTATAGAATTATCACCTTTTAGCTTTCTGCTTTTCCTCTTCTCTCTTGCTGATTTGTAATCAAATTCCAGTAAACAAACATAAATGGAGCAATATGTTTTTTAAAAAATAATAATAATAATGCTTTTCACACATCATGGATTGAAAAGAAATACTTTGGGATCTTACTACTTCATAAGTGTAGGCAAACTTATTATTACCCTAAAATATAAATTCCATCCACACAGGAGTATTTGTAATCAAAATCAAATTCTTAAAGAAAAAAAATTCCAGAAAAACCAATAACAAGAATTAAATGAAACAGGAAACTGATCTAGGGAAGATGCAATAAAAATACTTCTGTTGTTTCAAACTGCATTAAAACAGTACAAGTTGATAAATGTTGTACAGTTATTGACAATAGGGACTGGGAATTTACAGCCATAAATCAAATCTGGGTTCTCAATTATCAAACAGGAAAAAAATATATTAAGGCAAACTTTTGTTGCATCCATTGGAATGACCAACAGCCTTTTAAAAGGCTACTTTTGAAAGGGTCTCTTTTAGCTTTATTGCTAATACTATAATTTCTTTTTTAAAAAAACCATGTGTGCCCCACATGGAATACTGTATAGTTCTATAACTTACTATGGAACTGGTAAACTTTAGGAAGAAAGCAACCAGAATTATCAAGGAAAAGTTACAAATGCCTGGATATTTTAGTTTAGAGAAAAAATGAAAGTGTAATATATAGGTAGACCTCATTTACAATCTGTCATATAGCAACCATTTGAAGTTACAAAGGCCACTGAAAGGCTACATATGACTCTGTTTCAAAGTTATGGCAACTGCAGCATCCCCCTGGTCATTCGCTCTTACAACTGACCACACAATGCTGCAATGACATTCCACTCTCTCCTCAGGCCCCCTGCTTCCAGTAGTGGGATTCAAATAATTTAATAACCAGTTCAAGGCAGGGGGGAGGTGGGGGGACACTGTCACGGGGCAGGTGGGGGTGGGAGAGCTGTCCCATGCACCCCACAACCACTTACCATGCAAAAGGGGCCTCACAGCCAGGCCTAGCACACCTCGACACGTGTTGTGCCTTGCCTGTTTGGTAGTGCCGTCTCAAAAAAAACGGGGTGTTTTTTTTTCCCCCATGCTGGATTTTCGCTGCCATACTGTTTAACTTTCTTTAAGGTTTACTTGATGCAAAATGGACATGCTGCACAGCAGCAGCAAGCAGAGGTGAGGACAAGGAAGTCTTCCCCTGCCTGCCTCCGCTTGCTGCCGCCATGCAGCACATCCGGATCGCCTGCCTTCCCCTCCCCCTGCCTCCGCTTGCAGGGTGATGGAGGAGGTCTCCCTTGGGCATGGAACAGGGCGTCAGTTTCAGTCAGTGCTTTGAAGAACCTCCTCCATCACCTTGAGGAGCATGAAAGAGGCAAGACCTGAATGGCTGAAGGGAGGAGCCAAGAGAGAAAACCTCAGCATCAGATTGAAAAAAAACTTGGAAAAACCAGAAACAGTAAGGGTAGGAGTGGAAACTCAAATTTATCAGAACCAGTTCACCGAACTCAACAAAAAGTTAGACATCGGTTCTGCCGAACTGGTGCAAACCGGCTGAATTCCACCACTGCCGGCTTCCCACCCCACCTCCGGCAACAATCATGTACTCTGCCTTTCAATGTCTCTGGGCTGCTTGGCTTCATCTCAGAAGCAAGCACCATTTTCCAAGCGATCTAATCAATCCCTGAAATTGGCTTTCCTCTCACTGTTTCCTTCCTACTGATGGCTTGCCTTACTGGGGCAACCTTAATCAGAGTTGATCTAATAGCAAACCTATGTTATTACGCTACTGGGATTACTCAGAGATTTAGAGGTGAAAGGTGGAACAAATATGAGTATATATTTCTTAAACTGAAATTAAAAGTGTTGCAACCAGTGCAATATTTAATGAGATAAGTGCTATTTTTAAAATAGGCATAAGGTCAACCATTGTCCACCTCAATGTCCTTATGTTTAACACAATAATAGAAAAACTAGGCTTGAACTAAAATCCTGCTAAGTAACCTTCTTAAACATTAATCTCAATCTTGCTACTGTTTATCTTAGATTTCCAAGGTAGGAAAGGTTAATATTATAATAATAATAATAATAATAATAATAATAATAATAATAATAATAATAATAATAATAATAATAATAATAATAATAATAATAATAATAATAATAATAATAATAATAATAGCCTTGAATGAAGAATGCGCTTTGCTGGACATGTGCTGCACATGAGTGAGTAACATCCAGCAAAGACCACAATCAATTGAATACCACCAGATGACTGGAGAAAAAGAGGAAGAGCAAAGAAAACCTGGCTCCAAACATTATAGGAAGACCTGAAAAAAGTCAGTCTTAAATGGATAAAAATAGCCTAATGTACTTAGCACAGGACCTGAATAAATAAATAATAATCATAATCCTTGGGAAGGATTCGATAGATGTATAAACATTCCAAATCCATCTAAACATCTCACTGATTGCAAATATAATAATAATACTATTCAATGCTACACTATGTACACAGGTGGAAACCTTACTTTCTCTATTTTAATCATTTAAGATGTATTTTACTTGATGATCTATTGAAGTTTCTTGAAATGCTTAGCTTACTTGATGTTCATTAAAACAAATCTTAAAAAACATGAAGATCAGATTGGATAGTAACTATGTTTGAAGACAGCTGTGGCTTCATTCCTTCCGTTTTAATTCTACACCATCTTTTTACTCTGTCATGAAAATCATTCCTTAAGTTACCAGCATTTACACACATTTACACATATTTAAGGTCAAAGTGCAACAGGGAACATGTCATCTGGCCTTTTCTTTCCCCCTCTCTTTCAATCTTAATCCCTTCACTTTTGTAGGAAAGAAGGAAGGGCTATGATTTTGTGGTGCTGTGATTGGTGGAATCCACCTTAAATTCATAACGTGGCTCATTTACAGATATCCTAGTTTAGTCAAAGGCTAATATCGCAAACTGATTAACAAGCGGGCTTTCATGCATGTTTTTTTTTCCCTTTTCCATCATCTTTAAATGGTTTTCTATAGCTGATGGAGATCTATGGTCCTACAGCTGTTGCTGAACTACATCATACCGGTCATTATATTTCAGCTTTGGCCATAACTGACCATTAGCTATGCTGCTTGGAGCTGATGAAACCCAGGATCAGCTAAAAGACCATAAGGGCCTCAAACCTGCATTATATTTACAAAGTGAACCTTGTTGCCCATTTCAGTGATGCATTACTTATGACCATGTACCCCTGGCACTGAGTTTATGTTATGTTATCTTGTTTCTGCAGAATGTAATTGTAACCGTTTGGGCTCAGTCCATGATCGCTGTAATGAAAAAGGAATTTGTGAGTGTAAGCAGGGAACAACAGGGACTAAGTGTGATAAGTGTCTGCGGGGATATAACTGGCACAACCTGGGTTGTCAATGTAAGTAATTGCCCTACTTCTGCCCCCTCCCATCCCTTGCTGCCTGTGCTTCCCCCGTGCCAGCATGCTCAGCCCCCAAGGCCAGACTAATTTTAAAAAGAGCCAGCTTTCCAAATGTATCCTGCCTGAACCTGAAGTCTAATGAGAGCATTCCAACCAAGGCAATAAATTGGCTATGCAATCCATTTGTTTCAATATGCTGTGTAAGTGCCCCTTTCCTTTCTTGCTGCTAATGCTTGGAGCACTGTTGAACCAAAAATAGCACGTATTGGTGTCTTGCCAACTCTAGTCAATGGAACTATGATGAGCTATAGTTTCTTGTGTCCTGGTTCCAAATGCATACCAGAAACATAAACACGATACACTAATATGCATGTGCATTTCTGTCTTTGCATTTACCTTTTCTGGAAATTTGAGGCCATGAATGAATCTATTTCTCTCAATGAAGCCTCACTTTGGATGTAATTCTGTTTACAGTCTGCTTTTCCCATCTCCATATGAATCTAACAGTGTTTAAATTGCTCCAGGTAATATAAGGGTTATTGGTTCCAGAAGTGCTTACTGAAACAAGGAGAATCCATGTTGATCTAGTCTTGTTCAACCTCCCAACCATAGTTACTTAAGTCTTCATCAGATTCAGGGCAAAGTTTGACTAACGATTGAAAGCAATATCTGAAGCAGGTTTGTAAAACTGCTCTAGGGTTTACTTAATTATATCAACCTAAAGCTGATCCTGGGAAATGCTAGGAAGGAAAATGAGAAATACTGGTGAAAAGAAGAAAAGGAAGGATGGAAAGGAATACGTGAGCTATTCCCAAGTCATAACTATGGTTAAGTGTGTGAGAAGTAATAAAAATGCACTGCACAACTTTTGGACTACCGTTCATATGTTGATGCCAGTGTTGTTGCATTTCAACCCAGTCAGAAAAAAACACCATCAGGCTATTTGAGAAATAGAAGCAAGAATGGAGTTTCAGGTAGGTAAAAATGCAACTGTATCCAGTTAGAATACATCAGTTCCACAATTTACAATGGAAGTTGTCTTGGTCAAATTACAAACAAACACTTAGTCAAGATAATGTTAAGGTTAGCTAATCGTAGTGAGTTATCAGAAAGAAGTTGTAATTTGATGTGCTCTTTTATCTGAAGTTGTGCAAGATGTATGCTAATATATTTTCATTTCTATTTTACTTGTGCTCTTTCTTCATACTTATTGGTTACTCATTAGTTCTGTTGTGTGGTTATCACATGAATCTTCCTCATCTTCCAGGATATATTCAACTCCTCTTCATTCTCATCTCTTTGGATGCATCTCAGCTCTACAAAAGTGACAAAGGCAATGCCAGATATAGGACTGATGAGCAAGTCATCCTCCAAAAGAGGGTGCAGGCAAATTTAATCTGTCTTGAATGCAAAGATTGCGTAATGGTTGGAGTCAGTAAGAAGATAAGAGTTGGTGTCACTTAAGACTAGGAATGTATGATTGAAACCAGGAAGTAACCAAATGAAAACTTAGCTCTATCATAATTCAGTAGGTGATTTTAGATTAAAAACTCAGACTCTTCCACTGACCCTTTCTAAAATAACAGTAATAGATTATGCCCACTTGTTCATGAACACGTTTTGAGTAATCTTATAATGTGGTGCAGAAATGAATTAATTCTTAGGAGAACAGTATGATTTCTGAATTGATATGTATGTTTCTGAAACTACAGGTAATCCTTGATTTATGACTATAATTGGGACCAGAACCTCTGTTGCTAAGTGAGGTGGCCAATAAATGAGTCACACACAGCTTTACTATCTTGTTTGCCATGATCATTAAGCGAATCATCGCAGTCATTAAGTGAATCACATAATTGTTAAGTAAATCCACCTCTCCCCATTGACTTTGCTTAATGGAAGCAAATTGGGTAAGTTGCAGATGGTGATCATATAACCATGGTACACCACAACCAATGTAAATACATGTTGATTGCCAAGCACCTGAATTTTGATCACATGATAGAGTCACTGCAACAGTTGTAAGTGCAAGTACCAGTCGGGTTTTTTTAGTGCCATCGTAACTTTGAGTTGCTAAACAAGTGATCATAAGTCAAGGCCTATCCCCCTGTGTAGTTTCCATTCTATTCTACTCTAAAAGCATTTGTTCTAGCATGATATGTCTTTTTGCACAGATGGAAATGTATATTACAATCCAAACCCCTCAAATGATTACCAATTTATTTGTTTAATAAGGTTTATTGTAAAGTATAAAGCCGTTTACTGCTGAGTTTGAACTTTTTAACTTGAACAAAATTGCATTTATATTCTCTATTAAAATTAAGCAGCATTCGCTCTGTCAAAGATACTTCTGGGGTTCTGGAATATCTCTGCAAGATATTCAGAGAGAGACAGACAAGGAAGGACTGAAATTATGAGATGGTGGATTAATTTGTTTTTCTGGCAAATGTACATTTGTTTTTTTCCTTCCATAAATTGCTAAACTCCGATTCTTTAGGATTAGCAGGTATATTTGGGAGACTACTGTGATTACTCTTATAAAACTCTTCTGTGATAAAGAAGGAAAATACTTCATACGCCATCCTATCATTTGACTCTTTTTTTCTGGCCAAATAGGCACTAAGAAATGGATTGCAATAGATTGCAACTACCCATCTTTTTTATTGTCTAAGAATGCATTTGAGAACTCAGGTGGGGCATAGATATTCTTAGAAATCCTGGTGATAAGAGAAGCTTTGATTTTCATGCTACATGTTACAGCATGACAACTTGTCTTATTATTTGGCAGTGGTAGTAGAATCTGAAATAAATTACTTTAATATAATGCATATTATAAATGGTGGCAGAGAACATGGCAAGTGTCAAAAGAACTAGTTGGGTTGATATTTGGGTGCATCTGCAGGTGTATTGAGTATTTCCACTCTTAAAACATGGAAATATCACAGATTTGTTATTAAGCAGAAACCTTCAAATTCATATAGATTAGCAAGCCTGTCAAACAATACAGCATCTGCAAGCTATGGTTCTGTTTCCTAGTACCATATTATTTAATCCTGGATTTATCTGGATAATAAACTCTTTTTCTTGTTCAGCTTTTATCTATTTCTCAGGGAAATTTATCACTGCATGCAGCAACAACAACATCTCTTTAATGTGTGATAAAAATTCCCTAAAGAAATCTTCCCTAAAGACTGAAAAGCAGACTCTTGATCCTGAGCCCAGTGGTGGCCAAAGCTAAACCATTATTTATTTATTTAAATCATTAATATAGCCACAATTTAATCAGCTCTGGGCAGCTCTCATCCCAATCAATTATCCAGCCTCATTTAGTGCAGTTGTAAGGAGGGTAGCAGGAGCGGAGAGGACATGAAATGATTGAAATAAAAGACCTCAGTTTTTGTTGTAAAGAATGCATGTCCCAGAAGTGAGATACGGAATGTTTATTTAAATGGGTTATGTTACTATTTGGAGTGATTTTCTTTGGAATTGTTGGTATGGGAAAATGTATTTTGGTGCTTGTCTTTTTTAAAGGAGAAATTATTTTGGGGTTTTTTTAATGCAAAATTTGTTTTGCTTGTTTACATTGGATTATCCGGGATCTTTTTGTGCCTTCTAAATGGAGTTTTGCTTACAGCTAAGAGTTGAGACACGGGATGCTAAGGCTTATATATGTTGATTAATGTTAATATTTTAGAGTTCTGTTTGGACTTTTTGCTGCTAATTGGACAAGAAGATGTTATTTATTTGATTTAATATTAGAGTTGAGTTATGGGATGAGGAGTTTTATAGTTGCTAATTAAGAGGAGGTGAAGAGATTATGCACTTGGCATGATGAGTGGAGAAAATCACTTTCTAAATGGGAGTTTACACTTTTGCTTTTATACACTCTTTTGTATAATCTTTGCATTATCTTTTATTGTTTTTTTAAAAAAAAATCTTAATAGATTTATTTTTAAAAGAAATATGTGGATCCCAACTTCAGATCCAAGTTCTCCCAGCAGCTTACAAGACATTACTACCGTAATATAACAATTTTAAAACTAAAGCAGTAATTTAGGAAACAACAAGTAGTACCAAGACAAGCATAGCATTTAGAAGCAAACTTAACCTGCTTCTTGCTTTTTTTAAGTAGGACTTATATCAAGAAATTGTTTTGCCATCATCATCATCATATTACAGTAGAGGATTAATAAGTGTAGACAATAAATTTATACATTTACAAGACAGAGGGGAACATGGTTACATACTCTGCTTCTTTAATTCATCTGAAAATTTTAAATTTAGATATTTTAAATGTCTTGGTTCTGTCTCCTGTCAAAGGATCTTCCAGAGAAGAGCCAAATTTTGGATGATTTTCCCAAGAAGCTATTCAACAAATAGCACTAGAATGGCTTCATGTGGGCATTATTTAGAAGCAGCCTAGATACTCTAAGCTCGTGATCACAACTAATCCATTACTACGGGTTTCTGTCTAGTTTGCTTCCATGATTAGTTATACTATGTGTTTACTGCCAAATCTCAATTCAGTTTAGTTGACTAAGATTTTTTTCTCGCTTGCACAAAGTTACCTTGCCCACTTCTGCTTTCTCCCACGTCCCAATAACGTTGCCTTCATCCCATCCTTAGCCCCTGAGATAGAAAGGCTGACCCTTAGCTGTAATAATGTTTTCCCCTTCTGACACCTCTTGACCAAGCAGCTACTTTTCTTTCCTTGGAAAGATTCAGATTTTTCTTGCTATTTTAATTTCATGTTAGTATTACTAATCACAAATGTATCTCCTTTGCTACGCTTACAGTGAGACTTCACACAGGCTATTAATTATTTCTCCAAAGTGACATTTCAAGGCAACTTAAGAACCAGAGAATGTTTTTCACTTGTTATTACAGATAGACAGTGAACATCATCTGGCTTCATCTGCTTCAAAGCTTCATCTGGAGAGAATTTGTTGAAGATTTCAGATTAATTAGAAACTATTAGCATAATACTATTAAAAGAT